AAAAAAAAAAAAAAAAAAAAAAAAACAGTTAAAAAAATAGAAAATGTGATCTGAAAAGTTGAAAACCCCATTCAACCATGTTTCCATTGACCTTTGATTGGTCTTCGAGCTCTCGTATGCCCGCTGCCAGTGGCACTTTGCAACACTGCAGACTTGTCAATGACAGCTTTTTTTTTTTTTTTTTTTTTTTTGGGGGGGGAAAGCTTTTTGTTTTTAGATTCACCTAACTGTGTCTGTTGAAAAATCGTTTGGTCATGGTGCAAAAGGAATGAGAATGATGGAACACGCTTGTCGCAAAATGGCGATTCGGCGCGACCTAAGAATATCAATGTGCATCACCGTGCGATGCTGGAAAGACAGCCAGTAATGGAGACGAGAGGATGGGGCGTGCAGATTGTGGTTGTTCCCCTTGTGATGGCATTCATGGCAGCTGGGACAATGATGGGGCTGATCAGATTCTTCGCACCACGGGTAGAGACACCGGAGCCGGCAAAGAATGATCCCATTGAAATTGCAGGTAGGCATCATCGGTCTGATTAACATGCATGCATGCTGAGACTCCTGATAGTGACAGCACCAGTGGATGGCTTGATGCAGATATAGTTTATCAGACTTTATCTGCTGATTGGCAAAAAACAGGCAGAAGCTTTTTTTTTTTTTTTTTTTTTTTTTTTTCTGATATTTTTTTTTTTTTTTTTTTTTTTTTTTTACGAGTAATTTTATTAGAGATAGGCTGTTGGTCCCCGCGAGCGGCATTGAGCAGTGACTGCTGATGTTTGTAGGGGGAGGAAGGGACCGGAGGGGAGGCAGAGTAACTGGCCCATTGAAGAAGCTCGGTCCTGATGCTACTGGCTAACCCCCCTGGCTGGTATCGCCCATCTGCAGGTCAGGTGCAGCCCCCGCATGTTTCCTCGTTGGAGGCTCGAACTCGGGCTGGCTGCTACGGGGTTCCCCATAATAATATAATGATGAATAAAAAAGGCCTGAAAGGCCGTCCTGTCCAGATTTGCCAGGTACTTGAATTGGTAGGGCTTACAATCATTAGCCTAATAATAAAAAATAAAAATAAATAAAAATAAAAGAAAGCTGGAAACTGGGTCCGGTGTCCCTTACATCAAGAGGTCGTTCTATGCGTCCCTTAGTTGTTATGGTCAAGGGACCCCGAGACAACAACAGCATTAATTGAATTTAATTTCTTCCCTCTCCGGTCTTGTAGCAACTCGTGAATAGATTTGCTGAGCATGTTTTGAAATTCAGTGTGGGTTTCTGAAAAACGTTTTTCGTTATCTGATGAAACATGCTGTGAAAGATTTTCAGAAATTACTCACATAGTTTTTTGTTATCTGATGAAACATGCTGTGAAAGATTTTTGTACCGCAAAACAGTAAATGTTACTGTATATCATAATTAATTACGACTGGCGTCAATGGTTTTTTTGTGATCGCGCCTAACGGCGGCTTCCTGGAAGTGGGAATTCTTTGTCAAATTAAATAAAGTGAAGCTTATGGAAACCAAATATTTCTGTTTTTTAGAAATCGTAGGTGTTTTCAAAAACGTTACAGTAACATTTTTGTTACCGTGACATTTTTGAAAACGTTTTTGTTATCTGATGAAACATGATGTGTTACTGTAACAAAAAAAACGTTTTCAAAAATGTTACAGTAACATTTACCGTGTTGCGCTACAAAACGAACTTGCAACGGGGACAGGAATAGCGAAGATGAATTGTGGTACCGCACTGTTGTAGAAAGGCGTCATCGCCAATCGCCGAAGTCAAAGTGATTGGACATCAATGGTATTGGACTTATGAGTATTCAGATTATAATACTTCTGATGAACAATCACTTACTTTTGATAGTTATATGATTCCAGAGGATGATCTAGAATTGGGTCAATTACGTTTATTAGAAGAACGCCACGGATGGGTGTACTGAGCTTGCAAGTTGGAGAATTGAAAGCAAGAGTGGTTAGGTAAGAATTATGATGTCATTGTAGTTAATCTGGATTAGAGAAGGAATGAAAGGGCGATGCGAAAGTGTGGTTGGTCCGCTCAGTGCAAGCTGCTGATGTCATTTTGCTTTGATGGTTAAGTTCCATGGCATGGGTATGCTGCTATACTATGTTTGACTATGTTCTGGTGCTTTGATTGTTAATCTGGATTGGTCTTTGCGGCGTGGCATCTCACATCCATGTGGCACTCATGGTGTATTCCACATGGCAGCTACCATCTTCCCTCGAACATAACGCACCCTATAATGAGTGGATACAAGCTATGGTTTCGGCCTGATGCAGTCATTATGAGGGCGTCTTGTGTTCGGGCCAAGACGTTTGTGCTCATGTGCACTATCATCCCCTCGAGGGACTCTGTACCATTTGACACGGGAGTGACCATCATGAGGAATGCACCGTACAGTGCATACACATGATAAATGCTGATGTGGCAGTGCAAGTGTGTCCAGCTGACATTTGCTATGCTTTCAGTTTTGCAATCCTTGTGTTGATGGCTTTTGAGATGTTATCACCGAACTGACAGCCTGAGGGCCCATTGGCAGGTAATTGAGAAGTGTTTGGTCTTAGTCATCGAGCTCCATTCGGATCCGAACTGAGCTCTGTATTTCAACAGTTCATGGGTATACTAACTGAGCTAGGCCCGTAGGTTCAGTTTTGCAATCCTGATTGCCCTGAGGTGGCACTCTGCCATTTTGTCGATGTGTGTGGTCATGTTGCACCGTCTTCGCCCTAATAGAATAATAGAACGCCTGCTCATTATATCTGTATGTGCGGCAGCTTTCAGTCTGAATACAGCAATAATGACCGATTGTTCTATACGTGTCAAGACGGTAGCGTGGCCGTACTTTCTGTGTGGCTATTTCTGTCCAGACTTGGCATTATCTGTGCAGATGACGTATGTGACATATATGGCCGTGTTTTGATGTCGTATTCGTTATCGTTTGGACATAATGACTCCTATGCTGGGAGAAGGAAATGATTCTCACCACTTCTGATGGGGGCAAGAACCTGCCATACTCACACTTGGCCCCATTTTTTGACTAGTAAATGGGGTTCATAGCCACAAGCAGATGCATCCAGGAAAGTTGCTGGTGTGAGTAATATGCCTTGAGTTAGGTTCTGGTCTTCACACTGATCCATTGACTTCCTGCGGTAGCTCGCTGAATACAGCGCACCATCATCATATCCGTACTTTCACCTGAAAAGGGGCTGGATATATATATATATATATATCTATATATATCGTCAAATAGAACTGCCCGGTAAACCGTAGGCAGAGAGGGAGAAGAGGACAACAAACGAGGGGCTGTGACAACCTGTTTCGTCGGAGTTTCACCGACTCATCACAATATATATATATATATATATATATATATACCGGGCAGTTCTATTTGACGATATATACTACGACTTCGCTAGCTTCCTGATACGGTTTTCTCCGGTCAGGTCGAGCGGCAGTGGTCAGGACCGTCACTACGCGGCCATGCTGTGCCTCTAGTGCCAGCGGCATGTCTGGAGTGTATTTTTTGGCTGTGACAGACCTTTCTTTGTTTCGTGGGTGTTTTGCTGGCTTGTGATGGGGTGTGAACCGACAGTCTGTAGAGTTTTCCATCTGGTGTGGGTGAGTGATAGTCTACTT